AAAAAAAAAAAAAAAAAAGAATGTAAAAGAAAAAAAAAAACCCCCCCCCCCCCCCCCCAGGCGGCATCGGCGCGACGCCCGCTCTCGGCTCTTGGCGAGTTCCCTATCGGGTGGACGTGCGGACTGCCGTACGCTCTGGTGGCACTGGACTCCGAGGCGGCACTCGACGCGAGACTCTCGGGTCCTCTCGGGTACTCTCGGGTTCTCTCGGGTACTCTCGGGTCCTCTCGGGTCCTCGGCCCCTCTCGGGTCCTCTCGGCTCCTCTCGGCCCCTCTCGGGTCCTCTCGGCTCCTCTCGGCTCCTCTCGGCTCCTCTCGGCTCCTCTCGGCTCCTCTCGGCTCCTCTCGGCTCCTCTCGCCTCCTCTCGGCTCCTCTCGGGTCCTCTCGGGGCCTCTCGGCTCCTCTCGGGTCCTCTCGGCTCCTCTCGGCCCCTCTCGGGTCCTCTCGGCTCCTCTCGGCCCCTCTCGGGTCCTCTCGGCTCCTCTCGGCCCCTCTCGGGTCCTCTCGGGTCCTCTCGGGTCCTCTCGGGTCCTCTCGGGTCCTCTCGGGGCCTCTCGGGTCCTCTCGGGTCCTCTCGGGTCCTCTCGGGTACTCTCGGGTCCTCTCGGGTACTCTCGGGTCCTCTCGGGACAGGCGGCGCTCGACGCGATCGCAATCGACCCGACCGCACCCCCCGCGGCGTTCCAAGCGCAGTGTGGCCTGCCACACGGCCTCCCTCGCCCTCTACCTTCTGACGCGGTCATCTCGGAGACCCTCGGGTAACACCTCGGCCCGTCTCGGGACAGGCCTCGCCCTCTACTTTTACGTGCGCACGGGCGAGGCCGCCGCGCGCACACGCATGTTTTGCAGCGAGGGGGGGCGCTGGATCGAGGACGTGGCGACGGGCTCCGCGGCTGGGCCGCTCGCCGCCCACCTGGCGCCCTTCCAGGGCACCTTCGTGCAGGGCTCGACGCGCCGCGCGCATATCGAGGTCAAGTCGAGCGCGCGGGAGGGGGCGAGGGTCGAGATCGGCGGGGCCGTGCTGCGCGTCGCCTCGGGCACGTGGGCCGCACTACCTGGGTGAGAATCTGGAGAGAGGACCGACTGAGACCGACTGAGTTCCTTGGTTGGAACGGAAAGGACGTATTTTCTTCTCAATAACAAGGCTCTGTGAACTTGCATGTGTTGTCCGCGAGCTCGAGCGCGTGCGAGAAGGCCCTCGACAAGCTGTACACACGATCGCGCCCGAGAAGGCCGTGCAGGGGCAGCTCTCGCTGATTGACATCGCAGGCACGTCCGTCTCCATGTTCCTGAGCACGTGGCGGCTGAACGTGGAGGTAGCACGCGTGTGCAGCCTCGAGGACACGGTGCGTAGATCGTGCCGCCACTCTCCAGTCCATCCGGAATTTTGTCGTTTTAGTTAGCACTGCTGCTGCAGACAGGGCCCGCGTGACCCCATGCCCTTCCCATATCTCGTGAGCTGAGACTTGGCGCCACCTCGGTGACCGCCTACAGGTGGCTGTTCGCGGCGCCGCTCATCGCCGCTTTCGCGCTGGAGATGTGCAGCTCTATGAGCACATGATTTAGCGCTCGCGATGCACACTGTGGACATTCAGTGCGCATGGGGCCCACACATGTGGTCGATGACGACAGACCATGTGTGCGACGAATTGGAGCAGCACTGCCTCCCAGGAGCAGAGCGAAGGTCCTGACGAAAGTGGCCAAAGTTCCAGATGCCGGTCAGTGTGTGCATCTTAATCATGCCGAGGGAGACACCTTTGTACAGGGCGATGGTGAGCGCTTGCTGGTCACCGGCACCTCCCATACGGCCACGATTGGGATTAGCCAACCTGCGGTAGTCCCCGTCGATGTAGAGCAAGACCCACTCGGCCAGGACCTCTTGTACTCCGGCCTTCAGAGGCTGGAAGAACACCACACCACTGTTCAACTCTGGAAATGTGTACGGCACGTGAAAATGGTCAGCAAGCTTCTGGTCGGACGTGCCTGCCGTTAGGCGTGTCGTGGCGACGTGTGTGACGGCAAGCTCAAAGTCGAAGGCTTGCTGAAAGCCAGCGAACGCGAACAGCTGCATTTGGCTGACGCAAGGCACCGCATAGCTGTCGAGAAAGAGAGATTGCTTGTACGGAGCCGCGATGAATGCTGTGATCTTGAGGTAGCGCGAGGTCTCCTTGTTGGACGTTGGAGGTTGAGCGAGCGCGCGCACAGCACGCTGCCGCCAGTAACGATCTAGAATATATAAGGCTCTCGACCTGCGGCCACCTGCTGCTCGTGCTGCAGCCTCGAGATGGACGTGATCGGAGGAAAATGAATCTGCTGCAAAGCACTGCAGCTCAACACGACGCTCCCTGCCCCCGCGTCTCGTAGACTTGCACAGCGCCATGTCCTCATGCACAGTGAAGATACCTGTGCTACTCGACGATAATACAAGAATACGCAGCTGGAAGTTGCAGGCGCCTATAAAGAAAAACAGCAAGCTAAATTTCGGCGGCTAAAGAGCAAAGGACGGGCGCTTTTGATCGGCAAAGCGAAGTTGGAGTAACGGCGACCGCGTTCGCATGGAAGTCGCCTGTCGAGCAGCTTCCGTCCCTTTCCCAATGTCGTTTCACCAGTGCCGACAAAGTCCCACCAAACATGTGCGCGCCGCTGCTGCTTTTGCCGCTCCTCCACGCCGCGCCCCTGCCGTGGTCGGAGCCGTCGTCGTGGGCCTCGGGCGCCGTGCCCACCGCCGACGAGTGCGTCACCATCCCTGCGGGCGTGCATGTTGCCCTCAGCGGGGCGACGGCCGCGCTGGCGGGCCTGCACATCCTGGGCACGCTCTCGTTTGTCGACGGCGGCAGCGAGGCGGTGGAGCTCACGTCCAACGTGATCGAGGTTTCGGGCACGGGCCGCCTCGAGGTTGGCAGCGTTGACGCGCCCTTTTTGGGGACGGCCACGATCACGCTGGACGACAACAACTCGTCCGAGTGCGGGCTGACCTTTCGCTTCCTCACGCTGCTCGCGCGCGAGAATGCGACGCTCTCGCTGCACGGCGCGCCGTATGCGCCGTCGTGGACGCAGCTCGCGAGCACGGCGGTCAACGCGTCGCAGCAGCTCTCGTTCGCGGACGCGGTGAACTGGCCGGCGGGCGCCGAGGTGGTGGTCGCGTCGAGCGACTACGACCCGCACCAGGCGGAGACGGCGACGCTGGCGGCGTCGCTCTTTGGGACGACCGAGGCGTCGCTCATGGCGCCGCTGGGCCACGAGCACTTTGCAGCCGTCGTGGGGGCAGAGCACGACCCGACGGGCGCCGGCGGCGGCGTCGACATGCGGGCCGAGGTGGGGCTGCTGACGCGCTCGGTGGTCGTGCGCGGCGTGCCTCGCATCGATCCGGGGCGGTACAACGAGGCCGAGTGGAACTTCAACGAAGGCGACGGCGAGTGCACGATCAGTGGTCACGTCATCCTGCTCGACGGCGCGCCGACCGCCGAGCTGTCGTGGGTGGGCTTCGAGTCCCTGGGCGACGAGGGGCAGCTGGGGCGGTACCCGCTGCACTTTCACCTGCTCGGCGAGGAGGGCAGCCGCTCGTACGTCGACAGCTGCGCCTTAGGTGGGCTATGCGGCGCTGCAGGCGCTCGGCTCGACGCTGGACGAGGACACCAAGCCGCTCGAGCTGCGCGACGGCTACGCGCTCATCGGACGCAAGGGTACCGGCGCCGCCACGGGCGTTGCGCTCGCCGAGGGGCTGGGCAGGCGCGCCGACGGCGGCAACGTCACCCTCCGCTGGGAATGCCCTCCGCCCCCCGCGCCGCCGCCGTGGATGCCTGGCGCGGTGCCCTCGCCGCCGCCGCCGCCCTCGCCGCCGCCGCCACCGCCGCCGCCCGTGCCCACGCCTCCTCCGTCGCCGCCGCCGCCTCCGTCCCCGGCGCCTCCGCCGTTTCCGCCGCCGCCGCCGCCCACCTCGTCGTGCGGTGTGGGCGTGACGAGCGCGGGTTGGGAGGCGGGCAACTACGCCTATTTCTACGCCACCGCCACCTCGGGCGGCAGCTATGCAGAGCTGACGGACGTGAGCGCGACGCGCGGCCTAACTGTTGCCGTCCTCAACCCCGCCTTCCAGCTGATCGAAAGCTATACGTTTGACACGTTTGACGACGACGACGACGACGTGCAGAACATGGTCGAGTACATCGGAGGCCTGCCGGACCGCAGCAGCCTTGCATCGTCCTTTGTCCTCGTGGGCGCCAAGGACGAGGCGTCCAGCAGCCTGACGACCGCCGCCTACTCGACCCTCGCGTCGGTGCTCGGAGCGACGGTCACTGCCGACACGCTGTGCTACCGGTGCTCTTACGCGCTCGTCTCTCGTCTCGGTGGTGGCGGCGGCGAGGGAGGCGAGCTGCTCATGGAGCTGGTCGGCAACGACACGCTCGCAGTCGTGAGCGCCGACTGGATGCATGCCGCGTGCCCGGCGCCGCCGCCCTCGCCGCCGCCGCCGCCGCCCGCCTCGCAGTGCGGCGTCGGCGTGCAGAGCGCGGGCAAGCTCGCGGGAAACTACGCCCGATTCTACGTCCACGGCGCGCAGCTCACGGGCGTGAGCAATGGGCGCGGCCTCAACATCGTCCTCGTGAGCGGCACGACGTTTGAAGTCGTCGAGCACGCGTGGTTTGACACCTTTACGTCGTCGGACGAGGCCGATGTCATGGTGAGCTACCTCGAGGCCCTGAGCTGTCCGTCGTGCTACGTCCTCGTCGGCGCCAAGGACGAGGCGTCCAGCAGCCTGACGTCCGCCGCCTACTCGGCCCTCGCGTCGGTGCTCGGGGCGACGGTCACTGCAGACACGCTGTGCTACCGGTGCTCCTACGCGCTCGTCTCTCGCCTCGGTGGCGAGCTGCTTGCCGAGGAGGTGGGCGCCGACACTTCGGAGGTGGCGAGCGCCGACTGGATGCATGCCGCGTGCCCGCCGCCGCCGCTGCCTCCACTGCCGCCGCCATCGCCCCCGACGCCGCCAACGCCACCGACGCCGCCGCCGCCAACGTTGCCTCTGCCGCCCGTGCCGCCGCCGCCGCCCGCGCCGCCGCTGCCGCCCGCGGCGCAGTGCTCGGACACGCAGGCGACGTCGTGGTGCGCCAAGAAGCTCAAGAAGAGCCTGTGCCACAACAATATGGACGTGTGCGAGCTCACGTGCGCCGAGTGCGCGAGCTTGCCGCCGCCGCCGCCGCCGCCCGTGGAGGCGTGCGAGGACAAGAAGGGCAAGAAGTGGTGCAAAAAGAAGCTGAAGAATGTCAAGGGGTTTTGCACGAAGGCCAAGCACGCCAAGAAGGCGAGGCGCTGCGAGAAACGCTGCTCCTTGTGTCGTTGACGCATGTGCCGTGTTCAGTATGACAGTTTAAGTGTACAACTACAAGCTGTGCCCTGTGTTAGCTAGCTAGCTGTGAGGTGTGACTGCAGCTATCTAGTGAACTCAAAGTCAAACGGTCGTTGTTTCCCTTGCCCGTTGCACCTCAACACACAGCAGTTTCTGAATCTCCCAGGGCCAGGCCCGCACACACGAACCCAACTCCCTTTTACCCCACCGCCCGGCCGGCGGCGGCGCCCTGGCCTCTCGCCTCTCTGTGACTCGCGCCTCTCTCGGGCTCTCCCTGTCCGGTCCCCGTTACTCGCTGCTCGGTCCCTCGCTCGGCTCACATGGCCGACTGGAGGATCTCCGAGGCGTAGAGCGCGCGCAGCTTGTCGTCCGCCGCCGTCGTCGAGTTGGCGAGCGCCTTGATCTGCGAGGCGGCGGCGCCGAAGGACGAGACCGCATCGGAGAGCGCCGTGCTGCTCTGAGGGAGGCTCACCTTGTGACGGTGCCCTGGCAAAATCGTCCCGATTTCGATGCGCGATTTAGCTTAGTCCCAGAGCCGTTTACGCATGAGCGGGCCCCCTCACCAGCCTATCAGCGGGCACACTCATCACACACTCGCTGCTCTCTGTCGCTAGAGCAGGAAAGGCACCAAATGGTACGAGGACTGCTGCCTCTGAGGGTCCGGCGCTACTCACGTTCATGCATGTCCAATTGTGCTCTAGCAGCGCATAACCATAAGAAGAGAAGAAGAGTGTCGCGCCTCTCTCTCTCTCTCTCTCTCTCTCTCCCTCTCCCTCTCCCTCTCCCTCTCTCCCCCTGTGTGTGTGCGTGTGTGTGTGTGTGTGTGTGTGTGTCTAGCGGTTCCGACCGGCCTCCGCAACCCGCATCCCCGCCCGGAACGAGTCGCCGCAACACGCCGCCTCCTCGTCCGCCCTCCGCCTCTCCTTCTCTCCCGCGTAGCGCTTCTGGCTCCGCTCCAGCCGCTCCTTCCCCTCGCGCTCCCTCCGGCGTCGCCCCACCTGGCGCAGCCTGTGCGTCTCCTCCGCCGAGATGCCATCTCCCGAGGCGGCGGAGATGAGCTCGGCCGACGAGCGGAACCGGTCCGCCGCGATTTCGACGCCGATGAATTGGCGACCCTCCTCGAGGGCCGCGACGCCGCAGACGCCCGCCTGGTGAGGCATGGTGAGGTACAGTTCTCCACACACACACGAGGTGGTGGGGCAAGGGCCAGGCTAGGACGGGAGCCCCACGGCATTAAATGTGCAAGGCCCGGTGCGCGCGGGTGAGCGGTGTGGGGGGGGGGGGGGAGGGGGGGGGGGGGTCCCCCAAACCTGGCCCATGCAAAAGTCGCAGACCACACCGTGGCCGTTGGTCTCGAACTCGCGCACGAGCTGACGCCTACGAGTCTTCATTCAGCATCAATGACGCGCTCCTTCAGCCTGAACTGGTCTCGAGCTCTCGCATGAGTTGGCGCCTACGGCCCTCGGCCAACCTTCGTCCACCTCGGCCCATCTCGGCCCATCTCGAGCCCGCAATTGAGTCCGGCGCATGAGCGGGAGCGGCTTGAAGGAGCCGCCGGACGGGTCCTTTGGCGCGGGAGGACGAGTCACCCACCCCCGTTCTGATTGACGAACCCTTCCTCATTATGAATGCATTCGGCGGGCGCCTTTGGCACGGAGAACGAGTCGGCGCCCCGCAGGCTGCCCAAGTGCTGCTCGCAGCTCTCGCCGTGTGCGCGCCGCCAGACGAGGATCACCTCGTGGCTTCGGAAGGGCGACTGCGGGTTCTGCTGGTTGCGCCTACGCACGAGCCCGAAGCGTGACGAGACCACCTTGACACTAGAGCCTGACAACAACACTGCGCGTGTCTGCTGCTGCGCACCTACTACTACTACCGCTACATTCACAACACTGATGCTGCTGCGCACCTACTACTACTACTACTACCGCTACGCGCCAGCATGCAGGCACCTATGCAGGCCAACCAGCTGGCCGCGGCGATGGTGATCTGGAGCTGAACCGGTAACTTAGCCACGTTGGCGGGCACATGGCTGTCCCAATCGATGGGGTTGTACAGCATACGGTAGCAGTGTTTCAAGCCTTCGCCGTCTGCTCGTCTGTAAAGATGGTGCCGAAAGTGTGCGTTTGCGCCGCGGACTGTTGTATTATCAAAAAGCACCTCTATATCATCCCAGTTCATCGTTTTTCAAAACACGCCTCGGAGAGAGCAGAGACCCGCCCCCAACGGCAACGCAACACCAACAGAGGAAAACAGAGAGACAGCCGCTCGCGAAGGGTGAGACACGGCCATACGGCATACGGCTTTATCTCAAGACCGGCGCCCTTGCTCGAGACTCGAGACACCACACGAGACACTGCAGACACTAGAGACTGTGATTTTCCCATCTCATCAATCCTTCCAGATCAATTGATCCAGATTCCAGTCTCGGACGCACCCTGCCGCGCCACGTCGACTGCCCAGGCCGCACGAGTGGAGTGCGCACCGCGCCGCGGCGCTGCGTCTCCTTCTACCTCGCTCCGCCGCAGCTTCCGCCACCACTGCTGCACCCACCCACCCTCGCTAGCTAACTACCGCTGCGCCCACGCCTCGACCTTCTTGGGCAGCAGCTGGTTCGACAGGTCCTCTCCGTGGCCTAGGCAGCCGTGTTCGCCCTTGCCCCACGTGAAGACGGCGCCGTCGGCGGTGAGGGCGAGGCTGTGCGCGGTTCCAGCCGACACGGCGACGACGCGCTGCCCTGCCAACGCCTCCACCTTCTTCGGCAGCAGCTGGTTCTGCTCGTCGCCGTGGCCCAGCTTGCCTGCGGCTCCACCGCCCCAGCTCCAGAGGGCGCCGTCAGCGGTGATGGCGAGGCTGTGCTCGTATCCAGCCGAGACAGCGACGACGCGCTGGCCTGCCAAGGCCTCGATCTTCTTGGGCAGCAGCTGGGTCTGCGCGTCGCCGTGGCCCAACCGGCCTCCGCCTCCCCAGCCCCAGCTCCAGACGGCGCCGTCGGCGGTGATGGCGAGGCTGTGATCGCGTCCAGCCGAGACTGCGATGATGCGCTGCTCAGCAAAGGCCTCGACCTTCTTGGGCAGCAGCTGGTCCTGCTCGTCGCCGTGGCCCAGCTTGCCAAAGAGTCCATCGCCCCAGCTCCAGACGCGGCCGTCGGCGGTGAGGGCGATGCTGAGGAGGGCTCCAGCCGACACAGCGAGGACGCGCTGGCCAGCAAAGGCCTCGATCTTCTTCGGCTGCAGCTGCCTCTGCTCGTCACCGTGGCCCAACCGGCCTTGCAATCCATAGCCCCAGCTCCATACGCTGCCGTCGGCGGTGAGCGCGAGGCTGTGGCTACCTGCCGATACCGCGGCGACGCGCTGCTCAGCTAAGGCCTCGACCTTATTCGGCAGCAGCTGGTTCTGCTGGTCGCCGTGGCCCAGCATGCCAAAGAGTCCATCGCCCCAGCTCCAGACGCTGCCGTCGGCGGCGAGGGCGAGGCTGTGCCCGCCTCCAGCCGACACACTCACGGCACGCTCACCGCCCAGCGGGGAAGGGAGGTGGGTCGGCGTGTTGAGCCGCGTCACACCATCGCCGTGCCCGAGCAGTCCCGGCGTCCAGTTCTCAGCCGTTCCGCACGACGAGAGCCGCCCCTCGCCGTCGATGAAGAGGCTTTGCCGAAGGCCTGATGCCGCCCTCGCCGGCGGGTTGGCCTCGCGCAGCAGCGCCGAGTAGCACAGCCACCGCACGGCGCAGCCCTCGCCCTCCGGCTGCGCCGGCAGCTCGAAGCCGCGCTCTTGCGCCCACAAGCGGATGCCCTCCAGCGCAAGCGAGGCGTGGAAGAGCAGTGAGACGGCCGCGGCGCGAGCGATGTCGGCGGGGTCGCAGTGAGAGAGGGCGCGTACGAGGAGCTCAAGGGGCAGGTCGAGGAGGCGGGCGGGCGGCGGCGGGTCTGGCGAGGGAGCGGCGGTGGAGGCGGAGGCGAGGCGGCGCGAGCGGCGGCGCGGCGGGTGGACATCGCGAGGAAAAGAAAAACGTGCCTGCACTCAGTCAGTGTGTGTGTGTGTGTGTGTGTGTGTGTGTGTGTGTCGTAAAGTAAACACGGGTCTCCGAGAGGGCTCCGTGCACCGGGTTTCCCCTTAACTGCAGAACGCCCCCTCGTTGTAAAATTCTTCTTCTTCCAGTGTCGAGCCTGTCTGCTCTGAGGGGTCCTGATTCCAAAGCCGCTCCCAGCCGCACCCGCCAAGCACCTGCCGCCTCCACCTCCGCCTTCAATCTCAATGTCCCACCCCCCTGCGCGCGGGCCTTCTAGGCCCGCGGGTAGTCTCCCCCCATCCCCAGGGCCTCCAGGGCTCGCGCCTCAACCCGGCGAGACTTGTTACTCGCGGCTCCGCTCGTCATGGGCAATGCGACCACCTTCCGTCCACGCGATTGCATGCCGTTTGGGCTGCCGCGAGGCAAGCGCCACATGCTAGCGATGCTCCGCAGACTCGGGTTGCCTTGGCAGCCACCGCGGTTGCAGCTCGCCGAGAACCTCGACGCCCGGCGCTGCTTGCAGCACAGCCTCGGGGGGGGGTGTCGGATCGCGAAAAAAGATTTTTTTCCGTCCGGAAAAAGAAAACGATTGCGCGATGCCGATCATCCGGCCCGCTGGGTGCGCTTCTTAGCTCCCCGGCCCTGGATGTGAGGTTACCGACTGCACTCCAAGTGCTCCAAGTGCTGATCCCAAAAAGGCCGAAAGCCAGCACACGCTGCATCACTGCTGCTGCCTCCTGCCGTGCTGCCCTTGCCACGGCAACCTCAGTCCGTGCACACCAGCAATCTCAGTACCAGTCTCTGCGCTCCACACCGATAAGCGCTGCGCGACACGCCTACGTCGCGAACTCCCGAGATCGGCCGAGATCGGCCGAGATCAGGCTATGCAGTCGATATGCCGAAGATGTATATCGCAGTGTATATCGTGTACGATTGTCTATCGCGATGATGCAGCCGATATACTGGCCTAATAGAACGCCGAGATGCAGCCGAGATGCAGCCGAGAGGCAGCCGAGAGGCAGCCGAGAGACAGCCGAGGTACAGCCGAAGTGCAGCCGAGATACTGCCGAGATGAACCGCGCCGGGGGTGCACCACACAACACATAAGAGGGGCTCTTCGCCTGCGTCGTGTACTCCTCGCGCGTGAGGCGCCTATGTACCGCGACACAGCCGAGGTGTGCCCAGATGCGCCGAGATTGGCCGAGATCCGCGAAACCGGTTTGCGCGCCCTCTGCTCAGCACGCCGATGCAGCCGATGCTCTCTCCGAGCTTCGGGTCGGCGGCGAGGCCCGCCTGTGGGGCATGTCTGGCATCGACGTGTCATGGACGTGTCTCTAAGCCACAGGCCAGCAGGCGAGTCCACCACCTTGTTGCACGCCACGGTGAGGTCCGGCGCTCGAAGGTCGGGGTCGGTGCTCGTGAGGAAGCTCGCCACCTTTGGTGGAATCTCGAAGGCGCAGGACCAGCCAACCGCGATGTGCTCCCCGTCAAAGGCGCAGCAGCAGCACGTGTCGAACATTCGAATGCGCCCCCCAACATTGTCGAATGCATTCCCACCAACAACATAGACGCCCGACTCTATTCCAAACGACAGCACCCTCCCATCTACGCCGCTGGCCTCGGCCGCCGCGAACGCTGCCCTAGCGCGGTTCTCCGCGCCGATCGCCGTCTGTCATCGACTGTCATCGGCTGGTCGGAAATGCCGGACGGGACGGCAAGGCCTTCGACCGCCACGCTGCCCACGAGGCTGAGAACGCGGCCCTCAGGCCCGGCCTCTTCAAGTGCCGCCCGCAGGCCCGCGATCTTGCAGGCGTTCTTGGTGCCGACGACGAAGCGGCGGTACGATGGCGCGGCCGGAGGCGCTGCTGGGGCCATATACAGTCCGGTTGGGAGAGGGTTTTCACGTGGCCGCAGCGCGCGGCAAAATGAAGAAAAATCGCTGCGGACTCGGGTAATCTCCAGTAATCTCGGGTGATCTCGGGTCGTCTCGGGTCGTGTGGGGTCGTCTCGGGTCGTCTCGGGTCATATCGGGTGATCTCGGATCGTCTCGGGTAACCTCCAGTAATCTCGAGTCCCCTCGGGTGACCTCGGGTAATCTCGAGTAATCTCGGGTAATCTTGGGTGATCTCGGTTTGTCTCGGGTGATCTCGGGTCGTCTCGGGTAATGTCGTGTAATCTCGGGTCGTCTCGGATGATTGCCCGCGCTGGGGTGCCTAACCACCCATCCTGCCTGCCGCCGAGCCCCTACGTACCACATACTTCTGACGCACTCGCCACCCCCCCCCCCCTTGTATCCCGTACGTATTTCTGACGTATTCGCCACCCCCCTTGTATCCCGTACGTATTTCTGACGTATTCGCCACCCCCCTTGTATTCCGGATCCTCCGAGCAAAAGCCTTGTCCAGGACTGACAAAGGGGGCCACTCGAGTCTACCCTCAACATAACGCTCTGAGATCAGACAGGCCAGAGCGTGCGAGGCGTGTCACTTGGGGCTACGGCCCTCACTCCGAAATAGGTGGGGCGTGGTGCTGGGCTCGGTACATGGCGACGCGAGGCGGCGGCGCGGCGCGGCGGCGGGCGACGCAGGGCGGGGCGGCGCGAC